GGAAAGAGAGGCAGAGATAAAGAATGAGAGGAGAGAGAGATGCATAGCGAAAGAGAGAGGCATGAAGAGACTCTTCATTTCACCTCCTGCAATCACTTCATCCATATAAAGAGCCTCCGAATCTCACTCCCATATGGATCCCACAGCTGAGACCCTCCGAACACACTTATGGACAGGTGCTTCGTTTCCAGATCTCAGTCTCTCCGGTGTGGATTACACAACACATGCACGCTACGCACAGGCTGCATCCCAATTGGCATACTTTGACTGCATTCTAAAGCTATGCACATCACTGCTGAAGTGTACAGCAGTATTGGGACTCACTACAAGAAGACTGTAACCACATATTCAGGATTTAGGAACCAAATGTGCTCTTTTATGTATCTGATATTTAAAACCTGCAAAACAGGATTCCTCTGTGTTTAAGGTGGTTATTATGGAAACACATTTCTGGCATGGGATAAAAAAAAAAAATTGTGACTTTTTCTCACAATTCAGACTTTTTTTTATTTATTTTGGGTTTACATCTTACAACTCAGTTTTTTTTCCCCCTCTATGTAATAAAAAATGGTAATTGCGACTTTTTATCTCACAATACTTACTTTTTCACAATTTATAATTGTGACTGTGAGATATAAATTCAGAATACTTTTTTTCTCAAAATTCTGGGTTTACATCTCACAATTCTGTTTTCTTTTATTTTCGGCTACAGAATAAAAATGGCAATTGCGACTTTTTATCTAAGAATTTACACTTTTTTCACAGTTCTGATGAAAAAAAAAAGTCATTATAGACTTAGTATCTCATAATTCTGACTTTTTTTCTCAGAATTCTGAGTTTATACACTCAGTTCTGTTTATTGTTTCCACTATGGACCAAATTAAATTGCAACTTTTTAACTCACAATTCTTACTTTTTCAGAGTTCTGAGGGGAAAAAGGTCATAATGGCAGACAAATTCAGAATTATGACATTTTTCTTGGTTTCCATCTCACTGTTTTTTTTTGGGGGGGGAGGGGGTTTCCACTATAGTGTAAAAATGGTAATTAAGTCTGAATTTATATCTGAGAAAAAATAAATGTGCAATATAAAGATTTGCAAGAAAAAATATCAGAATTGCGAAAATTGTGAGGCTAAAGTTGTGGTAAATCACTGGTAATCTGTGAGGTAATTGTGAGGTAAAACATTTTTTTTTTTTTATCCCAGGGCAGAAACGAGCTTCCATAGTTTATGGCCCTGGTACAAAATCATAAAACAAGTAGTTTAACCACAACTAACAACTTTCTTGATACCTTTAGCACTAGCATACATTTGAAAAGCTCTCACAGTTCCCTGCCATTTTTTGTTTTGTTTTCATTTTTCAGCTTTTCAAATCTAACAGCTCTCATGCTACTATGTGTTCAGACATAATTTGACCTACGGCCGTTTGCATACTATATAGCTAGTAGATAAGTGTGCATATTCATCCTCTACCATTTCTTGACAGGTTGTGAGTAATATATTCACCTGAAAAAGCACAAAAATACTATCTAACAGTCATTTTAAGGAATTTTATGCTTGCATACTACATAGTAGGAACAGTATACAAATGTAAATACAGCCAAACACAAACATGCTCATACCCATATCCATTGTTTTGAGGTGCATTATAAACACTAAACAACCCCTCACCCTAAAATACACCTTTTGACATCATACATTTTAATTAACAAACTATGCTGCCAATTTGTGAAGCTTTTGGCTTGTAGCAAAGCCAACAAAATAATGTTTAGTAAGCTTTGCCGTTCTTCAGGGGATATTTAGAGAATCCCAAGCAGGCTAACAAAACACAAAGACCTTCCTTTGACTTTTGTTTCTAAATTAAGCTAATTATAATGACTACAAGACCTTTCAGGGGACATTTGGTCCCTATATAGAAAGCAAAACACACACGAGTGCCCCAGCAGCAGAAGGAAATGCAGCGAAAAACTCACGTCGCGGAATTTGTTCCAGTATTTGCTTTTGTCGTACTGGGACACGGTGCTCATCCACTTATCATTGTCCAGCGGGTTTCCGTCACTGCTGCCGGTAACGGACACCGTCAGAACCACCAGAGACACGAACAGACCGAGACTCGGCATCATCTGGAAGAGAAATAGAGAGCAGGTGAAATTAGGCGCGGGGCACTTGAGGTAAAGACGTCAAGCCTTTTTGAGTTTGAGAGTACTTCGTTTTAAACACGCCCAAAATATAAAATATTAAAAAGCTCACTGTCTGATTCTTATCCAATAAACAACTCCAGAGCCTCACAGGAAGGGCGCGGATTATTTCTGGATTATAAATCCGCTGAATATGTCCATCTGATATGATTAATCGTCCCTGAGGAGAAAATCTGACAACGGACTTTTTAACGGTCGCGCTTCCCGCGTGCGGCTCCTTCAGCGCGAGCTCCACTGGCGTCTGCGTTAATTGGCTTCATTTGATACAGACGTTATTCATCATTCGCTTTACTCACCTCAAGACGGGACGGTTCTCTGCTCCCGAGCGGGTGACTGGAGACCGGGCGGGACCGTAAAGTATCCGAGACACGGGAGGGTGAGTGAGTGAGTGAGTTTCCTCAGATCCTCGCAGCTGCTGCACTGAACACAACCGGGAGAAACGGACCCTTGTAACGGAACGGTGAGCGACTCCGCCCACTCTGCACCGTGACTCCGCCCAGTTTCCCTCTCTCTCTTCTCTACACTGAGCGACGCTACGCCACAAATTATAATCACGTGACTCAAGCTCTAATAACTGAACCAAACGCAGTTGTTAGAATTATCAAAACCTTTGTATTATAACATCAAGGTTGCAGTTTTGTCGCGTCGCTCATACATAAACCGCGTCCCAAATGACGCACTATACACTATGCACTTATACACTTTATGCACTATGAACACTATGTAGTGTATGAATTTTATAAGGTTATTTTGTCATTAATAATCGGAGTCTGATAGCCCCTTCCCCTTCGCGACGTAATTAAAGCTGCGACAGTTGGGTGCATTAAGTGTCCCAACATTCCACACTTATTTAAGTGCATCATCCGGGTATTTAAAGTGCACTTACTTTTTGGAATTTTCAGTGATAACACACTACTCGCACTATTTATACTACAAAAGTATGCGATTTGGGACGCACCAAGTCTTTCAGTCTCAGAAATGATGTAGAACAAAGGGAGTGGTGCATTCACTCGGGAATAAACGCGGAGGTTGGGGTGTGCTGGAGGTAATGCGCAGGTGTTGTTGACTTTAAGCTGTAAAACATCCAGTGCTGTGCGGAGGGAATCAATACACGCTCCCTGATCACTGCTAACAAATTAAAACCAGCCTCGGTTTCCATTTGGAATCAGCCTGTAATGGCTCTGAACTGCCCGCTGTCCACTGCAGTGAATTCAGCTGCGGGGAGAGAGAGTGATGGGAATATTGGCTCATTTTTAATGAAAGAGAATAAATAAGTCAATAGATTAAGCTCATTAGTAGTAAACATAACGCGCGAGACAGATATGTGTAGGTGTTCCCGAATGAGGGAGCTGTCCGTTCAGCACCACTGCATTTACGCCAGCTTTGTACACTGCAAAGAAGCCGCTTCTAATGCGTGTATAGTACTCCTCATTTTGCAAAGCGGAAGTACACTGTTTTTCTTGAATGTGCGACGTTTCCGATTGGTAAATAATTAGAAGAATAACAAAGTGCTGTAAATGGTACATTTGCGCTACATCGTGATATATTAAAATAATATGATAAACACTGCTTTGGAATTCTAAGCATAAGGGATTAAAATAACAGATCCAGCAAACAGGGAACGTTCTCAGAACGTTCTGGCAAAGTTCTCTCAAAGTTATAAACTAACATTCTTCCGATATCGTTAACAGAACATTATTTAAAGTTATCTGGGCTGCGTTTCCCAAAGCATCGTAAGCCTAAATCGATCGTAGCTCCGTTGGTTTCAATGGGTCTACGATGTACTTAAGCTCACGATGCTTTTGGGAAACGTAGCCATGGTCTTTAATAACGTTCTTAAAGTGTAAGCACTATTCATTATGGAACGTTTTTGGTTGGATGTTTATCTGTTTAGGGGCCATTTAAAAGTAACATTCCCATAACGTTTCGAAATAAATAAATAAATAAAATGGAACGTTCCCTGAATGTTTTCTTTAACGTTCACAAAAACCACTAAAACTAGTTAAAAAAAAAAACGTTTGAATGTTCAGAGAAAGTAACATTTTCATAACCTAACCCGCAAAATGACTAATGCAGAAATAATGTTTTGAGACTCATTCCACAAAATGGGTGCCTTTTCAAAACTATAAAAGTTTTAAATCATTCCATTCCAACAAATCCAACATAATATAACGAAGACACTTACTTGTCCTTGAAGAGTTCATAGCCTGAAAAGATGGTGGTAATATGGCTGTTTTATATGAATTTATGTATTTATTTTTATTCTTTATGGTATTGTATGATAGCAGGGCTGACATGTAACCTGGAGAAGAGGCACTAAGCTTTTTTATGTGTGTGTGTGTGATGTGTGTACCTGTTTTTCCCTAAATTGTGGTCCCCACGGGTACAAAAGTTTATAAATCATACAGAATTAAGTTTTTTGAAAATCTAAAAATGCAAAAAGTTTCCTGTGAGGGGTAGGTTTAGGGGTAGGGTTGGTGTAGCGCAATAGCACATACAGTCTGTACAGTACAAAAACCATTACGCCTATGGGATGTCCCCACTTTTCACAAAAACAAACCTGTGTGTTTGTGTTGTGTGTGTGTGCGTGCGTGCGTGCGTGCGTGTGTGTGTCTCTCTCTCTCTCAGTGGTAGAGCATTGCGTTAGCAGCGCAAAAGGTCGTGGGTTCGATTCCCAGGGAACACACA